ATAATGCTACATTCTTTCATAGGGCAAAGTTTTACAGCTTATGACACATTTTAGAAATATTAAAATGCAGAAGAATTATTGAGTTATTCAGACTTTGGATATGAACTAGAATATAGAATACTCCTAAGACAAAGAAAATTAGGTATCAGTGTATGGGGAAAAAAGCCCTAAACCTAAATTTCAAACCTTAGGTTAAACATCTAAAAATGGGTCATAGATTTGAAATGTAGAATGTAATTTTCACAGGAGAAAAGCTTTATGAACTTGAGTTGCAACATATAGTTTCCTGACACTGTAAATAGCTCATTTGATGAAATCATTTGTCAGCCATATTAAGACTCTGAAACTCTCAAATGACATGGCCAAATCCAGCATCAATTAGTGATTGAGAAAGAGGTCACATTTGATCTTTAAACATCATTGTCTTTATTCGTTCCTTTATGCCATGCCAATTCCTTTTTCAGTGCTTAGATTCACAAGAGAAGAATAGTAACAATTTCAGAGAAATATTCCAAGCTCATACATGATGCTCCAGAGCTTAAAAATGTCAGAAAACTGGCATTTTTTATATTGCCAATGATAGCAGTTGGATATTTGGAATTTTAGACTCACATATGGTAAGATAAACTTGAAGTCATAGAGTTAACACATCAATTACTCCATCTTCCCTTACCACCTAATTGATTGCCCTGATGGGAGATTTAAAACCCTAAATTTCTCTTGTGTTTCCTGTTTTCTATTTATTTTCCACAGCCTCGTTATGTGTTCAAGCCTCTGTTCTAACACAATAACATTTTTAGTTTTATTTTTTTGCCGCCATTTTCTCCTGATCGTGCTTCTTAAAAAATAGTACCAGATTCACATTTTCAATAAACAGCACAGATATAAGTACCATGAGCTAACCGATTGTGCCATTGGAGCTCCAATAATGCAGATAATGCCATACAGTATGTTCTCTTGTTTTCTCCAGCTCTAACATATTAACAATCTCTGTTTCAAAACAAATTAAATACACAACTCCAAAATCTGCCTTTCAAGGACCTCAGTTATCTGGCTTCAATATTTCCTTCCAGACTCTGAGACAATTCTTCTTTCTAGATGGTATTTGTAAGCTGTAGTATACTGGCACCAACTTCCCGTGATTTGCAAAAACCAAATTTGTATCAACTCCTCCCAAGTCTGTTTTCAGCAACTCACATTTGTAGCTTGAATTTGGCTGCGGTGGAAAAATTCATACCATATGAATTAGATAGTGCTATAAATCAGAGCCTTTTTGAAGAACTTTTTATTAAACATTTACTAGTATAGCTCTAATTCCAAGACAAATGGTACTATACTTCATGGTGAGGCTGCAGTATAAGATGGAAGGCTAATACGTTGAAATTGAAAGCCCAAGTAACAAGTCAAAAATAGGATGATCTGAGGAAACAGAACAAGAATTAGATTTGAAAAAATGGTGGAAAAATTCAATTCCTGAAAAAGCAGATAGTGAGAAAGAGATTTGGGTTCAAGTAGTTTATAGGGGAGATGATATCATGAGTCACTGGTATGGCAGGGAGGGAAATGAGACAGGGAAGGGAAGGCACAGCTACTATAGGGTGCATTGGTGAACAGGTTGGTACTGTGTGCAACTGGAGTCAAATTCCATTGAGGACCTTAGGGGATCATGTAGAATATAGCTCATATTTGCTCACAAAAAGTAAAGAATATGAAGAATTTCTCTTTAAGAAGATAGTTGTGAGTGCTTGCATTAAGAAGCAGCAGGCTTTGAATATATTTTAAAAATTCTCAATATTTTTCACCATGAGGAAATGCAAACCAAAACTACAATGAGATTCCAGTTAGAATGGCCATTGTAAAAAAAATAGACTATAGCAAATATGTGGAGAAAAAGGAACTGTTATATACTGTTGGGGAAAATGTACATTAGTGTACCCACTATGCAAAAGAGTATTAAGGGTCCTTAGAAAACTAAAAACAGAACTACCATATGATCTAGACAGTTCTCTCCTGGATATATATATATATATATATATATATATATATATATATATATGTATATATGAATTATATGAAGTTAGCATACAAAAGATATGCACAATTGATTATTATTCAGATTTTGAGAGGGATAAAATTATGTCATTTACAGGGAAATGTATAGAACTGGAAATATTTGGGTTAAATGAAATAAGCCACACTTAGAAAAATAAATGTTGTATATTTTCTCTCAAATGTAGAAGCTAAAAAGGAAAGATGACATGAAAAGAGAGGGGAGGCTATTAGAGAAGATGAGGGGAACTAGGTGGGTAGGAGTTCAGAATTATCCAAGTATGCTATATGCATGAATGAATGTGATAAAATGTATCCCATTAATTTTTATAACTAGTATGAACTAATTTTAAAAAATAACCTGAAAATAGAAGAAGGACTACAAAAGATTTGGCAAGGGGCTGGGGAAAAAGAGAGGGGAGAAGATGAGGGCACAAAAGAAAGGAGATAGTCAAATTAGTGTGTGATATATGCGTATGTGGTTGTATCATAGTGATACCAATTAATTTGTATAATTAATATTGTTAAAATATCTTTTAAAAGGAAGGGACAAGTATGTTAGGAAAGACTGAATACCAAGAGAATACTAACAGAACATAGATACTTGTGGTTATGTTTCACATAATGTACTTAGTGGTGACAGAGATTCACTGAAATGGTCAATGAATGGGTTGGATCCATCCTTCTAGTTGTGAATCATTTGTTGTTACTCAACATATTCTATTTGTTTCTTCCTGTAAGTCTACTCATGTGTTTCTACCTTTACTATAAGGTATATTTTAGTTCCTTTCAATTTTGAAAATTCCTCAATCCTAAACCAATCATCAAAGATTAGAAGCACTTCCATCAGGGAATATATCTAATCCCCTCCTCTGATTATGGAAGGTGACTGTCATGCTGGTCAGGCTAAGCTGGGAGGAGTGGGGAAGGTTAGTCCTCATTTAATCTGAAACAAAGGAATAGATAATCAGACTTTCTCCCTTGGTTAGGGTATATGGGATCAAAGGGCAGAGACAAACATTGTATTCTGGAGTCATTCAAAATGATGAACTTCATAATGGTAAGGGGTTCATCCATCCTGTTCATCACTATATCTCTTAGAACCCACTTGGCACAGAAACATGCTATTATTGTTGGTGGAAGAGAAAAATGAATAAATGGAGGTCTTGGTAAACAATGGAAATGATGTAGGGAGCCATACAAGGAAGTTGAAGCTGACATAGAAAAATCATTAAGGGTTCAGCAAGAGCATTTGGATGAATTCTGAGGATGAACATCAAAGCCTATAAAGTAAGTAGACTCCACATACGGCTTATTCATCAGAAGTAAGATAACTGAAATCCACCTAGCTTTTAAGATTCAATGAAATTGCCTTTAATCTCATTTGCTTGTGATGCACCTCATCTCTTCTAGTTTCTAAGGGTAACTTCAGGTTTTCTTAGTCTTCATTAGCTTTAAGCTCCTATCTCCTTAGAATCAGCAATGTTTGTGAGCTGTTTTGGCATCTCAGAATTGCTCCCTACATTTTCTTGCACGGAACTATAGACACTTCTTGACTTTTCCCCAAGCATTGCTCATACAAACTTTTTGTGTGAGTAGCACAATTTTAAAAACATGCAGAGTGAAGATAAGAACTTTTTGTTAGCATATGGCTTGGCCTCTTCCCTCAGACTCCATGAAAACATTAAATTCCCACCCCATGAATTACGTGAGCAATTTTACTCTCTGAAAGTTATACAATTGGCCCTAATTTGCCTTTTCAAAGATGTTTTACTGTTTTTTTCAAACAAAGCAGCCATCTATTCTCCTACTTGCAATATTCACTGTCTATCTTCTCCTCTCTGTGCCTTTACACAGAGTTGCTTCTAACTAGAATATTCTTTCCAGAACAGATGATTTGGCAGAAGTTTGGAAATTTCAGTCTTTCCCCCTTCTCTATCCCATATCATTCTCCTTACGTGGAAAAGAATAATGTCAACTATTTCTGCCTTCAAAGTGGCCGTGACTAGTTTTTTAGTAACACATTTATTTGTACTCAATAAACTTCTGGAAAGTACTTACCTGGATTTGCTCAGTCACATAAATAAGCCACAAGAAAGAAAAAGCTCCCTTTCCTCCCTTGCCTCCCACCCTTGCTAGTTTAGAATACTTCTCTACAATATAGGAGATCTTTATCTGGAACTTTTGCATGAACTTGTATATACAAAAAATTTCATCATCCTCATTGAAATGTAAACTCTGAAAGAGTGAGATCATTTCCGTCTTTGAAATTTCAGTCTAGCTCAGTGTCTGACATAGCATAAATTTTGAAAACATCAAATCTGTTACTGTGGAAAAGTGAATGAATAAATGTGGGGCAACAGATGGTCCCTCAGTGATCTGGACAGGCTACTAGGGAAGCAACATACAATACTCCTTTGTCACTTCTAGTGACTGAAATCTCCTATTGGAATCAATACACAATTATTTATTTACTGAAGATCTACAATGTGCAAGGCACAAGGAGAACTCCAGGACTAAATTTTTTTAAAATGTATAAATCTATAGCCTATCTAGTTTCTTGCCATCCAAAAATAACTTTCAGGCCACTTATCTCTATTTGTTTTTGTAGAAAGGCTGAGACTGAGATAGGAAAACAGAAATCCGTGAAAATATTCAGTGCTGTCACATCTATATATGGTGTTTTACACTGCCAATTCGCATTTTCTGAATGAGTTATTTCTATGTCCCTTCGCAGCAGCCAGCACTGCAGTGCCTTGCATATATTATATGCTCAATGGGTGCTTGTCAACTGATATTTATACAAGCATGTGACAGCATAAATGCATTATGAAAAAAGAGGAAGCTGGGGATTAAAATAGTCAGGATTCTATCTTTCAAAATACACAGAAGTGGAGTTAGATTTAAAGTTCAAATGCCCCTGTACCCTGCCCTGTAGTACCTCTAACCAGGTTGATCTGATAAAGGTAGTTGAAGTTGCAGTTACAGGGTAGTTGAGAACCTTTGCTCCCTCTCTACCATCAAAGGCATTCTTAGCTTTTAGGTGAGCCACACTGGCTTACTTGCTGTGAAGTTTTCAAGAGCATAGAATCATCTTTTTCATTATCAAAAGAAGATGCTGTTTAATTTTAGGATCTTATTGAACAATGCTACTTTGAGAAATGGCCACAATATCGTGGTTCGAAATTTTTGGTAAGTGATAAACCGAGTTGGGTTTGATTTGGGAATCATGGTGATAAATGAAATTGTATTGTGCAAAGGAGAACTGGCACAAAAGGCCTCTTTCTGTAGGATGTAGTGCCACAGTCTACTTTTATGTGTGATGGCTGTCTCTAATTCCAGCTGAGCTTTCATTTCTCAGTCCTTCTGTAATTTGATTTTATCATGCATGCTTGTGTGTGTGTGTGTGTGTGTGTGTGTGTGTGTAGGGGATAACCATGACAGATACAGACTAAATATTCTTGACTTGTTCTATTTTTGTATGTTCTAAATGAGCTGAAAGAAACTATAGGAGAAAGTTTACATGGAGCCTCCAGTTTGTATTTTGATGTGATAGAAAACAATACATCATTCTACGGTGTTGGGAAAAATCTATTCTTTTAATAAAACATTCCAGATAGCAACTAGGTAAATTTTTAGAAAGCTGTTTCCAAGGAGCCTTATGTGTAATGGGAATAACAGTACTTTTTAACAAATTCCAAATTTGAAATTCATATCTGAAACTGTTGGTGGCATGTACAAAGGATATTATCTCCCATGAATTTACTATAAAAGCATAATTCTGTTTATAGCCATTGACCACATGCTTGAAACTGGCATAGAGTGTCAGTGGGGAATGGGGAGAGAACAGAGAAGATGAGTTAGCTGAGCAAGCAAGGCTATCAGATGTGGACATCATAACCGGAAAGCTTCTAGAGGTCTTGGATGTTGGTGATCAGATACAATTTTTCTACAGCCTCTTTACAAAGTATAAACCAACCTCAAAATAACATCCTTGACTTCCTAAAGGTGAATTTTGCTTCACCTGTAAAATGGGAAAAAGGATAATAGTTGCTCTGCCTACATTATAGGGTATTGAGCTCGCTTTGGCAGCACATATACTGCATAATAAAGTATCATGCAATCATTCATTTAACAAATACTCATTGAGTACTTACATTTTGCCATGCCCTATACAAGACGTTGGAGATACAGCAGTAAATAAGGAAATGAGATATTTCATTCCAGCCACATGAAGTCAGTCTGGTGATAATCAATGAGATAATGTGTGTAAAACTTGTAAAGTAACAGACATTGTTTATTATTCCATCCCACTGAATTACATCAGATAAAAATATGATTCAAATTTATTTCATGGTTTTTAATAAAGAAAAGTCACTGAGTTGTAAATACTCAAATGAATGCATAATCAAAGCTTGAGATTTAAATGTATACTCTTTTTAGAAAATTACAATGAATTTTTAACAGTTATTATAGGTTAAATTTTGCAAGCAAAACTTTTTCCAACTAGTTGGGGTTTTTTGATATATACTAATTATCCCTTGTATATATCTGGTAGACAATCTACATTTCTAAAACTCCTGGCTAGCCACCTATAAGTTGGGCAAAATATGGCTAAATCAGCTCAAACCTGTACTTACTGTTTGAAAAAAGTGAGAGCACTGAGTCATGAAGTTTGTAAAAAAACTCAGTAATACATTTCTATTGAAAAGTAACCTTGAAATGGTTTCATGGTGGTGCTCTCATGTGACATGGGTGTTTTTACCACCCTATTATTTAATTATGCTACCTGCTGCCTAGATGAATTTAAAATTTTTTATCTTTATTAAGACCTTCAACCTTTCAAAAACTCCATCAACAACAGAGAAAAGCTCCCTGTCAATTCTGTATTATACTTTTACTTTTATTTTATCTTCCACTAAGATTTGAATTCTTTTCCTTTTTTTCAACTCTTGGGAAAAGTTGAGGGCCTTTATTACACAACATACCATGTGAGTTTGCAGCATAATAGGAAATACATTGTTAACGCTCGGCAGTGCCACAGACAGGGATTTTTGAAGTAAGTAACCATATTACTATATACATGATAAAATAACAGCTGAAGTGAGGCTAAAGTCATCCACACAGGGTCCTGGATCAATCATTTTTAGTCAATTAATTTTCTCTTACAAAATCAATAGGCTCAGCCACCAAGACTGGTGAAAGCCCCCAATCCACAGGGCTTTTCATCTCACAAAGGCTATGGAGCCTGGTGTGTTTAGATAATGGTGTCCCATGATTTGTTGCCTATTAGGGAAACCACTTACAGCTTTTAAAGAAACCACTAAAAGATCTTTTTTTCTTTTTCAGAGAAGACCAATTTGTAAGTGCAGTTCAATTTCATCTCACAAATAGAAATTTCTTCAAAGAATATTGAGCTAAGCCACCCAATTTTGTGGAGGTTATGGATTGGAGCTGGAGGTGACTAGATTTTAGGTATTTCATTCCAGATCTCTGTAAGAACTCACATAACTCATTATGTTTCTTTCAACTCATACACATTCCCATCCATACACGTGTGGACACATAAAACAATTACAGCTCATCCATGCTCTTGTAAAAGGAGAATAGTGCTTTTTGATTATTTATATTTTGTATCGAAGCATAAAATAAATACCTTTAAAAAGCATATATCTTAACTTGACCTCAGAAAAGCATGCAGAGCATGTGATAGGAATGGTGACATAACATTTTCTTGGGCCAACAGTAAACTTTTCACCCAGTTTGTTGCTTTTAGCAATTTGGTAATTTAACTAGAATAAGTGAAGTCACATTTTCAACAGTTTCAGGTTTTCTGCACATGCCTGTACTCTCAGCACTTGAGAGGCTAAGGCAGGAAGATTGCTTTAAGTTTGAGACCAGCCTGGGCTACAATGTAAGTTCAAGACCAACCTGAACTACATACTGAGGCCTTGTCTCAAAATAAAGTAGATCTTCCCAAAGTCAGTCCTCATCTGAATTCTTTAGTTTTCAGATAATATCTTAGCAACACTGAGTCACTCTGTTTTCAATAATAATTTTTTTTGTCTTTTTGAGACAGGGTCTCACTATACAATTCAGGCTGACCTTGAACTCATTTTGTAGCCCAAATTGTCCTTGAACCCGTAGTGATCTTCATGCTTCAGCCTCCCAGAGTGTTGGGATTACCAGTGTGCACCACCACGCCCGGCTCTCAATAATAATTTATATTGCATACAAGTACATTGCTACAGTGAGAAAGGTTTCAAATAAGTTTTTTAAAATTATTTTAGCTGTTAATAATATGGTAAATAAATTTGGAAAAGATTTGTGGGGATTTTTTTTTGCATCAATGGAATCAGTTCAAAATTTTTGTGAAAAATTATTCTCCCTTACTGGTTTCCTAATATGCCATTTTTGAAAAGGTAATATTGGGATAAGATTACAGTTAGGACACTGAGAATTGAGAAATTTTGTGTTTATAAAACTTCATAAGTACTGTAGAAAACAAGGACACAGAAAATAACTGACTTACTTCACTTTTTCAACTTTTTAGATAGCAAATGAAAAGCAGAAATGGCAAATGGCCTTTCCTAGGTCATAGTTTATTCTTAAATCTGGGCTGACCTAGAAATACAATTCCACTATTTAAAACCACAATTCTTTCATTCCTCTGCTTTATTACTTTGATCTCTTTGAATTAATTAAGTTGGCCAATCTACCATTGCCCTATGTCCCTTTTTAGGTATAGCCAAAATATCTCAGTGAGACAAAACAAAATATTCCTTAGCTCTTGTGTTTGTTCAAGGTTAAAGAAACATCAAACTTTCAGCCTTAAGGTCCATTGGCTCTCTCTGATACTTCCAGAAGCTAAGGTATTTATTTCAAATTCCCCACGGGGATCAGAGTGTCTGATATTTTTGTGCTCTGGCAAAGTCAGTTTCTGACTGACCACATTTTATGTGAATTAAGGATTTGTTCTTCCAGCAAAATACAATTATACCAGATAACATATCCAAGTCTCTTCCATTCCCAAACAATTTACCAGAGTTGGAAAAAGCAAACTCCAGCCATAAAAGGTTTCATTCTGCCAGTAGTAAATATACTTCCATTTTCTAGGTAGGAAGATATTTGGACAAAGCTAAAACAAGAGTCTGTTACTACTTTGGCTTAACTTTTTAGCATTCAAGTATTTGGGGTTAATAAATCTCTATAATTATTTTTTAAGGGATGAAATTAATGTAAAGAACTGCTCAGGCCTTTTTCAAGGGCTTTGACTCTAGCCAAATCACAAATAATATTTTAAAAACTCTTTGATTGACATTAAATATTTGTACATATTTATAAAATACAATGTGATATTTGGGTTCATGTATTTTGGGTAGTGGTCAACTTGGGGTGATTAGTATGCCTATCAAAACTATTGACGGTTTTGATGGTTCCTATTTTCCCCAATAGTAAGGCCTCCCTATTATGGGTGAGCTTAAGAATGACAATGTGATTTAGGTCTGGTTTATGGAGACCATTTCTTGTTTACTTCTGGCTGATTTCTTGTACACTTTAGTGGAAGAAACCCAAAGATTTGATAGGAAGGATATAAAGTAATGATTTTGGCCCTCATTCTGGTATTTCTGAGCCAGCATAGACTGCCTATAATTGCCACATGAAGTCTCTATAGGAACTTAATAACTTCATGCCAGCACGTTTGGCTGGCTAATTTGAGTGTAGATTTTTCCACAGAAAAGTAAGAAAATGCTTGAAATCGACCAAAAAACAAACCAAACCAAAACAGAAGCTTGTATCAGAGGCATTTTGACAGTCCAATTGTGGGGTTCTACTTTCCCCAGTTCTTATGTAGCTTAGGAAGGAGGTGTGGTGGCTTAATTTTGAAGCCAAGGGACAGTCTATGAGAAGATAGTAAACAGGATAGGAATTTAAATGAGGACCATTGTGTTTCCTTTCCTTTTAGTGATAAATTTTCCTGGTTAGTTCTTGATATCTATGAAAAACAAGTTTTTCCCAAGCTGACATTTCCTGCCCCACCTCCTAGATAGAACTGTGAAAGGTGATGACTACTCTAATGAATTTTCAGTGGGGTAAACAGTGTAGTTCCCTTCAACTGTTGTGGTGCTTTTAAAAATATTTTTCTAGTTAATCACTCAAGCCCTCACACACTAGTGTGACAAGATGTACAA